TATTTAGATTATATGTGGTAATTAGATCACATCATTTAGATCATATGTGGTATTCAGATTATATGCGATATTTAGATTATATGTGATATTTAGATTACATATGATACTATAATCTAGGGTAAGTGGGATACCACATGTGATATAATTATATCACATGTGGTATCCCACTAATACTTTTATATAAAACATTTTACTTTTTTGCTAAAATTATAAATCAAATTTAAAGAAACTAAAAATTTTAAAACTTAAAACTCTTATAAAATCTTAAATTCTTTTGTGAATTTTAAGATATAAACTAATTTAAAATCTACACAAAATATATTTTTTTAACATTATTCTTCATCTAAGATATATTGTAATATATTACACTAATTTACTATTAAGTATATCATTAAGTTTACTAAATAAACCTTAAATTTTAAATATATAAATTGTAAAATTGATTCAAATATAACAAATATTTGTAGGATTAAAAGAATATCTTATGATCATAACCTTTAATAAATAAATCAATTATTACAATTCTCTTAACTTAATAATAAGATAACTGAGACTAAATATAGTAATACTATTTGATAATATAATAATAACCATTATATAAATATATAATTCTATATATTGTTTTCTTAAAATTAAGATTTATTTTAATATACACTTTTATTATTTTTGAATTATTATATATACTGATAATTAGTACTATTTTTTTTATTTTGAAATCATTTTATTAATAGTCTATCTTTATAATCTTTTAGATTTTTAACTAATATAAATATTTTCTAATTTATCAAATTCTACTAAACCATTAATTTGATTTTTAAAATTATTTTAATTATATATTATAATTATTATATTTTATAGATTTATTTTTATTAGGTAAGGTGTATATATCAAAAAATTATATTATATAATCATTATAGTCATTTTAAATTCTTGAATTTATAAAAAATTGCACATTTAAAATTTCATATTTTCTGATACATTTGAAATTTGGTCTAATAAAATCTGATTAATCATTACAGCGTTAAACAAATCGTAGGTGTGTATACTTTCAAATTGGTAATAATGATAAATTACTTGTTTGAAAGAGAGCTTGCTCGAACCTTTCATATATCATTATTTTATGATTTAAAAAGGGATGGGGACGTGTCGGTTCTGGAATAGAAAGGGGGGAAAAAATCAATTTTACTTTTATATGCCAGATATGATTTTTAGGTCAAAATATGTTCAGATTTAGCATTAACTCATTTTTTATTTTTTCCAGCCTTTTCCCCCTTTTCTATTGTAGAGGTCCCATATTCTGGGTTTGCCCGGGCCAGTTTCCAAGAGTCGGGCTTAAAGTTTTAATTTACTTAAGAGGAGCCGTCCCATTCCATAATTATAAAGTGATACAAAATATTTACAGTATATCAAAATTTCGGTTATGAATTAAACATAGCCAAAATCAATTATGTTCTTTTGTTCAATGGCAAAACGTGTTCACTGTTATAAGCTTTAGTTGCTGACGTGCCCAAGGGTAGCAATGTGTTAGGCGCTATTTCTTATTCGTCCTGTTCTTTATCGGACGAGAGTTCATTGACGTCGGTTGTTCCTGACGTACATGACATAAAAACTTCGCCATTAAATTCACGTGATCATAATCAATTCCATGGAAATTCTATTGAAATCGAATCGAATCTGATACAGTTTGTTTACTTTTAGATAAACAAATCAATACCACAAAAACTAATAAAGTACATGACGAATATAACTAAATTGCATTATCAACTGAATACAGTTCTTAACCATGAGGCCTAACGAAGGATATCGAAATCAATTCATGAAAGAAATGGAAGTTAGAAACGCAATTTGGGGAGCTGCCTCATATACTTTAGAAGAGTTCGAAGCAATTCAAGCTAACCTAACTAAACAATTAGGGCCAGAGTATGTTAGCAGTCGTCCAGGTCCTGGTGGAGGTGGGAACAAGCCTTATTCTGTTTAATTCAGGCTAGAAAGAATTACGTTAAATACTCATGAAATGAATTTTACATTTAAGGCGGCAAAGTAATTTATTTAGAAGGTTGGAAAGCAATGAATTTAGCTAATGACATTTTTGGCTTTAATGGATGGTCGTCAAGTATAATCAATATAACGGTTGATTTTGTACGTATTTATTATCAATCTTTTGCTGAAAGTTTTATATTAAATATATTTTGTTTCATTTCTCAGGTTGATTGCAATCAAGAAACTGGAAGATTTTCTATTGGTGTAGCGGTTACATGCAGAGTAACCCTCAAGGATGGAACATATCATGAGGTTAAGGATCTTTTATTTAAAAATATTTGTGGTAATTTTAATATATAAACTTTCTCGTATTATACACAGGATATCGGTTATGGTTCCTGTGAAAATATGAAAAGCAAAGCTGGTGCTTTCGAAAAGGTAGTTATAAGAACGTTCAATTTTATTATTATTTTAATCAGAATTGCATTGCTAAATAACAAATAAATTACTTCAAGGCAAAAAAAGAGGCAGCCACGGATGCATTGAAACGTGCTTTAAGAATGTTCGGAAATGTAATGGGTAATTGCATGTATGATAAAAAATATGGACAGGAAATAATTAAAGTGAAAGTGCCTCCGGTAAATGTTCTTTAACAAAACTTTTATGATTTTGATCCAATGAACAATAAATAATAAAATTTTCTAATATTTCTTTCTTTAAAAATGGTTTAAGGTAAAATTTGCTGTTGATAATTTGTATAGGAAACCGGAGTTTGCTTCAAAAGAAACACCTATTTCTGGACCTTCCATGACAATAAATAATACAAAATCGGACGAAAATAGATATTTGGATCAAAGGACAGATTTAAAACAAAGGGAAGACTATAATATAGGAAAATCAACTCAGTCTATTGATCAAAAAACAGTCTCAAACTCTGCACATCAATTCCAAAATTCAGTAAATAATGACACAGTTATCAAAAAAGTCGCTGAAAATTATTCCGTCAAGTCAACACAAAACTCTGATAACTTTCCATTAGCGCCCAGTAGACTAACTAATCCAGAAGGTATGATTAAATATATTAAATATACAGTTTTATTTAGAAAAGTTCTGATAAAATTATCTTAAATAGATATTGAAGTCCAATTAAGTCCATCTGCGATCAAGGCACAATATGACGGTAAGATATATGACTGATGTATGCATACTTTTTTCATATTTAAATTTATTACGAATAATTCAATTAAGATATTATATGTCATTTAGCCTTAGACTCTCAGTATGCGCATTTATTTTCTGAATTCGATGATTTATCACCGCAAATTGACTCTGTTTTCTTTATCGAGCATGAGGATGAGTCGGATCGGTAACATTAGTTGGCTTTTGAATTTTTTTTATTTTTATTTATTTCAATTTTAATTCTAGTTAATTTCAAATATTGACTAACTTATTACGAAATGAAGTTTTAAAGATGCTTCAGTTGGACAAATAAATAATTCACCTTGTCCAACACGTGATACACAAAGTCATCAATTTTCTTCATTAAATCAAATCTTACAGGTGGAACAGAACAACCTATCATCTAATAAGTTAGAAGCAAAAAATAAGACTTACGAACATCAAGAACATCAAGCATTACAGTTTGATTCTGTTAATGATAATCATGAATCTAATAAGCGGTCTTTTTTAAAAAATAACGCTTCATTCGACTCTGATTCTAAGTGGAATACATTAAGTAACGAAAGACGAGATATCCAACAAATAAAAACATTTCAACTTGTTGAATCATCGAGAAAGTCTCAGAGGATTGATAATTCGAATAACTTCAGGAATAGCGATTATGATAATTTTAATAACAATGAAGTCTCATTAGGAGCGAATACACTGGGGAATTCTAGACAAATAGCTGGAATCAAAAGATTTGCTGATAGTATGTCCAGTACAGGATTGTCATCAGGGTAAGTTGATTTTAATATTTATTTGCGATTTTAATTTCGTTAAACATTATCTTCAATTTTAGACGAATTGATTCAAACAATCGATCTACTTTGTATGGGCATACTGGACAAATGACAAAAAAAACTAGAGCTGTTTAAATTAATTCATTTTTATTTTTTATTATTTATTTATTTTTTTTTTTTTAAAAAAAAAAAATAAAGTGTGATTTTAAATAAAATCTTTAGACAAATTTATTATTGATTCAATTTATAATATTATAAATTTATTTTTTTTATTTCCAATTTTTAATATTAATACCGAATATTAGGATGATTGTTAAATAACAATCATTTTATGAGTTCTGGTAATGGCAGTTCTTTTGATCGTGGTTGAATACCCGCGATATCGTAGTGAGCAGAAGGTTTCCTTTACTAGGAAAAATAAAATAAAAAAAGAGAAATAAGAAATATACTTGCAATCAGTGATTAACAACAAAAATAATTGACATTTTTCATGTTATTTAGAAAATAGTCAATGCTGATTCCTATTTTATTGAAATACATTTAGTATTTAAATAAAACTTTAGAAATTTTACTATCTATAATAACAGTTGGATTGTGTTTTTGATTTCAGCGATTTATTCATATAAATGGAAGAATTCTGCTTCTGTTTTCCAGACTGGGTGACACTTGAGGGCTGCTATATGTTGTTAAACGGTTTGTGAATACTAAGATTGCTTGTCTGAACTCATTTTAGATTTGGCAAAACGTAGTTTTGCATTTTTATGTTTTGATATAGTTTTACCTTTTCTAGAATTTCGCTGAATTTTTAAGGTTTTAATATAATTTGCTAATGTGGCTTTAACTTATAAAATTTAAATCATCGATATTACTTTGTAGACGTTTAAGATGGTTAATTAAAATGACTTCTTCATTCTCTAATGATTTATATCTCAGATACTCGTAACTGAAGTTAATCTAATCTGCATCTCTAATAACTATATAACTTTGCTAATATAATAACTTTTAAACAAGTACAGTGGTCGAAAAAAAGTAATCAGAAAAAAATACTATGCAATAAAACATGATTTTCTCTTATATTATTAAACCAATCAAATTAAAATTAAATGTAATGATCATAATATAAATGATTGATATATTTATTTAATTATTTAGTTTTAGCTTTCAAATTTTTTCTTTTAGCAACTATGGCAAAGGTTACACTTGAATAATGTCATATAATTGTAAGCACTTTATAGGTAATGGTATTTGTGACGCTAAGACTTTACACAAATTAACCTTTTTCTCACGTTCTCTATATATAATTTTATTAAAAAACTTAAAATGGTAATACTTTAAACTAATTATTTTACTTTGAAAGGCCAAAGAAACTTTTTCCTAAAAAATGTTGTTTTCTTAGTCATCTTATTTTAGCAAATAAATTTTTAACATGTATTAAACTTGAATGAAAATTATACTGACCTTAATATAACTGATCAGACTATACTTAATGAATTTAATACAGTCAACTCTTGATATAGCGAATTCTTGATATAATGAATTTTTTGAACAAATATAATAAAAATACTCTTGTTATAGCGAATTGGCCAATAAAATCTCTTAAAATCTTCACTATAACCTTATAGCAAAGTTGAGGTCTAGGACATAGAGTTCGTTATAATAAGAGTTGACTGTAATCTTAATAATATCAAAATTATTTCATCTATATCCTTATTAACAGATATTCAAAAGCAGGTAATAAAGTAAGAAATACTTATAAAAATTTGCAAATTTCAAAATTTTTTTAATATATTATTAGAATTAGAAGACTAAAAGGTAGTATCGCTATTATAATAAATTCTAGAGTTATCTAAAAGAATTTATTACACACCAATTTTATTCACTTTATTGGTAAACAAACTTTGTGTATAATTATAATAATTAGAATTTAATTAGAATGGCTCTTAAAAGGATATTATAGTGATATTCTACTTATCTTAGATTATGTTACCACCATATAATCTGAGTACTACCATATAATCTAATTATCACCATATAATTTAAGTAACATCATATAATCTAATTACCACTATATAATCTAATTACCGCCATATAATCTGGATATCACCATATGATCTAAAATTACCACCATATAATCTAAATAATATAATTTAATTACTGCTATATAATCTATTTATTTCATATATTAGGTATCTTTTTTATACTTTAGCTATCCTTTTAAATCTTTCTTACTATCTGTATTTTTTTACTACTATATAATCTAATTACTATCCACCATTTAATCTAACTATCACTATATAATCTAAATACCACACTTTTTTTCTTGTTTCTAAGTCATTTACATGCTAAATTCTATAATAGAATTGTTAGTTGTTTATAGCTATTTGGATACCTGGTTTTATGTTGATGGTGCTGGCCTCCTGTACTTAGTTCGATGCTGGATTCTATATTGAAGTGCTTATCCTTTACGCCTGTTTAATTGCCTGTTTAAATACCAAATTGTGGTAAAAAATCATGTCAGGTGATGTAGTAAATTCGCGTTTAATTTCGGCTGATACTATGCTATAATTTCAACTGATCTTTAAGATACATGATTTAAGAATCCAACTCAGCACCATGATAGTGTTATAGTTAAAGATAGTGCCTCAATTAGTTACAACAGGTGACAAATAAGTATCACAATATTGCAACGAATTGCAACATTATTAAAATTTAAGTTGCAACAGATGACAAATAAGTATCACAATGTTGCAACGCCATCTTTAGCCATAGTAGTGACCTGGAACTGTCATGAAACTGGTGAGAAACTGGCAAGATATTAGTGTAGCTCTATTAATTTGCCAGTTTCAGATCACTTATATGCTAACTTAGATCCTGACTTGGATGCTGAGTTATTGTGTTCTAATTTTGGCCAAAATTATGGAATAGTGTTGGCTAAAATTAAGCAAAAATTTTCTGCGCTTTGAGTTCTAAGCACTTTCCCATCACTTTCTCGATACTTTTGAGGAATATTTAGAGTTCAGTCTGGTAAATCAGTTGGTTAGAGATTTGGAGATGCCCATTTGATTACCAGATGAAACACAAAGTGTCGAACTTGCAATTCAGATACTTTATTCCATTTGATTGCTGAGATGATGCTGATGCAATCCATCATTTTTACCCATCATTATCAGCCCTTTCGATTACCAGGTTGAGACACAAAGTGCTGATTTTGCAATCCATCTTTTTGCCAATAATATTTCGCTATCTATTTGTTATCTCTTGATTGCTAAGTGAGACACGAAGTGCTGATGTTGTGCTATTTTTGCAATTCCACCTCTATGGCCTGTTTGATTACTGAGAATGAGGCACAAAGTGCCAAATTAGTTCAGATTATATTGCTTTCATACCTTTTTTGTGTATTCTCCTAAACCTTTCTCTTTCTTGCCTATCAGTGATAGTATCCTAAAGCATAATTTCTTTACTTTCTATATATAATTCTACCTTGGGTTACTACTAAATTTATACCTTATTTTTCACTTCTGCATTTCTAGAACTCTTTTCCATATAGTTGCTACTTCAGGATACTTTTAATTATTACTGTATCGATTACTTTTGGGTACTACCATATTGATTACTTTTGGGTACTACCATATCGATTACTTTTGGATATTACCACATCGATTACTTTTGGATACTATCACATTGATTACTTTTGGATACTATCACTAACCTAGTATTTTACTAACAAGCATATTCGCTCAAAATCTTATAAAATTTTTATTTTAAACTTTACAAGTTTCTCTATTATTTTATATTGATTTCTTACATATACTACCATGCTTATGCAAAAAAATTCTGGATTTAACTTTAAAACAATAAATGAAGTAATCAAGCTCTTCTCTGGTTTAGCAGACCTTAATATTGAGCCTGATTATAATAATCATGTGTATTTTCAATATTTGTCTAATAATAAAAATAATACCTCTCTTCTAGGCATCTATCATCCTAAAGAGATTTTTAATAAATATATAGTCTAAGTGTCAGAAAAGGGTTTTATAGTAATTGATCACCTATCTAAAGTTTATGGGCTACCCGATACTTATGAATATATTGATGGGAATTTGCCTCTTCACCTCATTCTAGATATTGATGTGAGGCAAAAGCCCGATCTCATGAATCCTGAACTTCCTTCCTTAGATGGATATAAAATTTCTCGTGAAGATTTATTATCCAAAATCTTAATTACCTATGCTGATATTATATATTTTGATTTAAATCATTTTATAATTTTAAATGCTTTTGCTTTAACTAGTTCATCTAATGTTAATAAATGCAGTTGGCATATCATATATCCTTATGCCTATTTTATTGACTATAAGGATCTTAGAGGTTTTGTGAAAAAAATTACTAAGAGAGTTGAAAAACTATATTCAAAATTCATTAACATAGATCTTTATAAATTACGTTTCAGTCTTCGACTTAGATTAGCAAAAGAAAATAGAGTCAAAAGACCTGCGATTTCTTCAGTCAAGGAAGGATATTGCAAATTAAAAAATTATTTAGTTCAGCCTAAGTTAGATGCTTCTGAAATCTGGCCCTGAACTTTTTCTCTTGAAAAGTCAGAAAAAGAGAAGTTCTAACCTATTGAAGATGAAACCGCCTTGAGCAAAAAAGCTAGTTTAGTTACCGTAAAATATGGATGGCTTGAGGTTGGCAACATTAGAAAGGGATTTATTAACTTTCAAGCTCAGTCATTAAAAGCATGCCTGATTTGCAATATCAGACATGAAAAAGATTAGTTATATAGCTTTCTTCAAAGCAATGAATGCTTTATACTTAAATACTACTAGCAAAAACAGTACAAACTTGATCATAATGGATTAGTGTTTAGGAAAGTATCTGGTATAATCAAGCCAAAAGAAAGAACTAAATGGGAATTGAATGATAGATTAATTAATGTTGTAAAAAAATTACATTTACTTTCTGAATTGTCTGAAAAAAATATTAATGTAAAAAAGATGGAAGAAGCTCTAGAAGCTTATCCAGACTTCTTAAGTTTTGTGTATAGCATAACTTTTATTCGTTCATCTGTAGGTACAGATAAAACAAAAGCCTTAAGAGAAATTCTCAATTCTTTAGCTAGAAATAAAAAAGAT